TAATCATTGAGGTTATATATAATACAAAGGACCCAAGAGCTAAAACTATCTTGAAAGCAAAACAAAACTGGAGGACTTACGTTTCTCAATTGCCAATTTATTTTATTTTATTTTTTTGTGTTTTGAGGCAGGGTCTCCCTGTGCAGCCTGTCCTGGAACTAGCTCTTGCAGACAGGCTGGTCTCGAACTCACAGAGATTCCTGCCTCTGCCTCCCAAGTGCTGGGATCATTAAAACTTACAGTTCCACCAACTGGGGACCACGTATTCAGAGATGGTAGCCTTTGGCTGGACATGTATTTGGAAGAACTTTTGCTTAAAAAGTTACCAGATGCCTTTAATCAGAGGCAGAGGCAGGCAAGTCTCTGTGAGTCTGAGGCCAGCCTGGTCAACAAAGTGAGTTCCAGGAGAGCCAGGGCTACACAGAGAAACCCTGTCTTTAAAAAAACAAAACAAAATAAAAACAAACAACAACAACAACAAAAAAACACAAGGAAAACCCGAGTCACAGTGAGATATCACTTCACACCCAAGGATGGCATAATGTTTTAAGGGACTGTAAAAAGTGTATTTGAGAATGCAGAGATTGATGGCCATGGAAAATGGTTCAGTTGTGTAAAAACAAAAATCAGAGCCAAGAGGTGGCGGCACACCCCTGTGATCCCAGGACTCAAGAGGCAGAGGCAGGCAGATGGATCTCTGAGTTCCAGGCCAGTCTGGTCTACAGAGTGAATTCCAGGACAGCCAAGGCTGTTACACAGTGAAACCCTGTGTTGAACCTTTCCCCCTCCAAAAAAAAAATCAGTGTTCTGGTTTCTTGAAAAGTTAAGTGCCAAATTACTATATGATCACTTCTAGCTGTATCTGAAAAGAAATCAAAAACAGGCCTGCATTTTTCATTCTTCTCTTCCATATTACATCTTGATCACAGTTTCCCCTCCCTCCTCACTGCCCAGTCCCGCCCCTACTTCTCCTCTTCCCCATCCTTAAAAAATCGTTTCTTTATTTTTAGTTTTGTGAATGCATACACCGGTGCGTGGATATGTTCCTGTGAGTGCAGGCATCTGTGGAAACCAGAAGCTGTCAGAGTACCTGTAGCTAGAGTTATAGGCAGCTGTGAGATACCTGATATGGGCATTAGGAACCAAACTCCAGTCCTCTAGAAGAGCAGTTTGTGCTCTTAACTGCCAAGCCATCTCTCTAGCGTCTGAAGACTTGGGCACGAGTGTTCATGGTAGCACCATTAACAGTCATCAAAACGTCGAAGTAACTCAAATACCCACCATCTGATGGACATCCAAACAAATGCGGTATGGCCAATCAGCAGGATGCTAGGCAGCCGTAAAATGGCTGAAATACTGGCAGGCGCTGCAGCATCTATAAGACTTGAAATCATTCCTCTAACTGCAAGAAGTCAGTCAAGGAAGGCCTCTGAGATATGATTCCACTTATAGGAAATTTCCAGAACAGGCGGATGTATAGGCTGAAGGGCTGGGACGGCAGAGAGGCAGTGGAGAGTGGTTGTTCACTGGACACAGAGTTCCTTTTTGAATTAGGTGAAAATGGAGCTAGAAAGTGGAGGTGGTTTTTAGATACCGGTGAGTGTGCCAAAGCCTCTTGAGGGTCAGTTTTAGGTGGTTAAATGCTTGATTTTATGAGATATCCTAAAACTTCAATTTAAAAAGATACACAGATATACATCTACTATATATTACAAATATAAATATGAGTTCTTTATAAATTTACATAAAGAAATATATATATGTATTTCTTTAGGCCACAGATGTGGTATTTATAAATGTCTAGGAACCACCCAAGGCAGGAGCAGCAGTAAAGGAGCAAACATTGATTGTCAAGGCAAAGTTTGGTTTGAAATATATCCATTTTTATATAAATATGTCCACCTTTTTAGCTTTTGTCTTTTCTTTATTAATTTTTGGGTTAGCAGACAAAGTAGTGAATGTCATGTGGTATTGTCATACATGTTCATGTTTTAAGTTGTTTAAATACTTTAATGGAAAATTAAGTCAGTATATGCATGGCATAGAGGGATGTATTTGAGGGCAAATTTCATAAGAAATTTACTTTCCACCTTTTATCAAAACTTTAGCAAAAGAATATATCATATGTTTAATCAGAAAAAATTAAGCAAGCAGAGAACATGGTACCAGAGAGACGGCTCTGCGAGTAGGAGTGCTCACTTAGTACTTTTCTGCGAGTAGGAGTGCTCACTGCGCGGTGAGGGCCTGAGTTCAGGGGCAAGCATGTACATGACAACCTGGACTCACTGGCATGTACTCCTGTAACCCCAGAACTGTGGGGAACAGAGACAGGAACACTGCTGGGCTTTGATGTCTGCCTCGCCTAGGAGCAGGTTCAGTGAGAGTCCCCATCTCAAGGGAATATGGTGGAGAGCGATAGTCAGACAGCCTATGTCATCCCCCGGCCTCAGTGTATTTGTATGGGGAGGGAGATACAAGGAAACAAATAGCAAACATCAAACTTAGCAAGAATGAGGGAGCTCACCCCACCTCTTGACTTAGTCCAAGTAACTTAACAAAGAAGGGAGTTCACTTTAGTCGTAGCTACTGAGGTTCACGGACCTGTCACCAGTGTTGTTCATGGTGGCTGGCATCTGAATGGGGGAGATATGGGGAAGCCAGAGGGTGGTTCTCAACAGCTTTGGGGGTTTCCAGACTCCTGACATTAATCCATCTGTAGGGCAGCACCCCAATAATAAGACCTCCCCCTAAGGCCTCTCTCTTAGATGTCTCATCTCCCAGCATGGCCACCTTAGGGACCAAGTTTACAACACATGAACTTTCTAGAGGACGGAGCACACAGGAAACCGGAGTCAGACCACAGCGCTGCCCAGCACACCAGCTGCCACTGCGTAACTGAAAAACACGTGAGCAGAAAGGAACAAATGGAGTTTTTTTCAAGTTCATCTGAAAAGAGCATGAAGCCAGGATACCATGGCAACCTCCCCCAAAGCCAGGATGGAGGAAAAGTGGGGAGTGAAGCCTGGGCCACAGCAACCTACTGCCATGGCTGGACTGGAAAGATGGGCGTGTCCACAGCCCCCCTATGTGATCCCTCCTGTAGGAACAGACTTCTGATGCCACCGCTTCGGGGTCACCACGAAGACAAATGCCCTCGGGGTGACTGACAACCGTGCGCTGCTCACCGGCTAGAGAGCCATCAGGACTTTGAACATGATAGGAAGAGTTTGCTCGGTTGGACCTGCCTCACATCCAGATGGACAGCTCCATGCTGATGTATGAGCAGAGGGAGCCTCAATTACACATAAACAGGAACTGTGGATGGTGTACAGTCCCATAGCCATCCACATGCAAAACCCTCCCACGTAGAAAAAGGAGCAATCACGCTGAACCCAGAATGGCCTCTCAAACCCCAAAGGGCTGGCACATCTCTGTATCACTCGTCCTTTTGTTCCTGGATCATCGGGCTCTAATCCCAATGCTGAGTCTTGGAAACACAATACTTGGTGAGCTCCCAGGAGATCTGGCTGCACAATGGCACGCTCCCAGCGTGAAGGGACAGATTTGGGTTTTGTAGGGCCTGAAGCTTATAGCATTTAGAAGGGCGATTTTCAGAAAAGTACAAAGCACACAGAATTGCAGATACAAAGTTAAGTGAGCCTTCAGGACAGGAAATCACAACTGATCACCTGCTTCTGAAAGTTGGTTGATAGCTCATGCTCATGAGGTTTCTTTGTATTAACTGCCCCACCTCTATAATACTTTCCTATACCTCAGACTGTATGCGATGATTTTATATCATTTTCTGAAAAAAATATTGATACTTGGGATGCTTAAATCATGAGGTTTTTTTTCCCTGTAAATCTCCACATTGTTGTTCTCCTGGGGTTGACCCAATAATCACAGAGATTCTGAGAAATCCTTTTAAAATCGTGTGTGTGTGTGTGTGTGTGTGTGTGTGTGTGTCTGTGTCTGTGTCCGCGTCTGTGTGCATACATGTAAATGCATGTGGGGGGAGTTGCTCACCTAAGTTTGCACATGTGGAGGCCAGAGGTCAACTTCTTCAGGAGCCTTCCTTAATTGCACCGTCCCCTTTTATGACAGAGGCTCTCACTGAACCAGAAGCTCACCATTTTGGCTGCACTGGCTGGCCAGTGAGCACCCAGGATTCTCCTCTTTATCCAGTTTCTCCCAGGTATGTAGTTATCAGTGCACACATCATGGCTAACATTTTGCATGGATGCAGAGGACCACACAGTCAGGCATTTAGGCTCACACAAGCACTTTACCTACTAGCTAGATCTTCAGACCAATTCTGATAAATTCTAATTCAAAAAAGTTCCATCAATAAAAGAAAAAAAAATGACTGGAGATATAGCTCAATAGTAAAGAGCTTTCCTAGTATGTAGATGGCTCTGGGTTTAATTCCCAGTTCTACATTAAAAATGTAGGTGAAGGAAAAAAACAACAATGATATATATTTATACTTGTATCATTGCATTGCCAAGTATGATTTCAACAACAAAGAAATGGCTCAGCAATTAAGAGCACTTACTGTTCTTGTAGAGGATGCAGATTTGGTTCCCAGCACCACATGGCAGTTCACAACCACCTATAATCCCAGTTTCAGCAGATCTGATGGCCTCTTCTGGCCTGCACAGGCCCCTGCATGTACATGGTGCACATACATTCACTCAGGCACACTAATGTAAAAGTAGATAATTTAAAAAATATTGATGAAGATAGAATCTTCAGCTCAAGGAATCATGCACCTGGTATTAGGAACGGTTTTCTCCAGTAGGTTTCTGGCTCCCTATTTTCCAAACCTTACTTTTCCTTTCTGATCCACATACTTTTGGTGCCAGGTTCTGCGAGACACGTGGCTGTCACAATAGCAGTACCTCTGTCCTTACATCTTCATGCTGTGCCAAAGGGTGAACACAGCAGCTGCAGAATGACAGGAATAGAAGTCCCTGCTCTCGCAGGCAACTGTGACTCACATAGGGCTATGCTGTTAATCTAAACCAGCCGCATCCCAGCTCGGTTCAGTGCATCCCCAAAGAAGCTGTCTTTCCACACAAAGCCCCAGGAGACATGACAGAGGAATCTAGCGAAGAAAAGACAGAGGCCCTCATTAATCAAAGCTACGAAATGTGGACAAAAATACACATTTCTATTGCTTCACGTTGCTTGGCACCCCCACCCCCTAAGGAGCCCTGACACGGAGGCCTCTCCAAACCCACAATGGTCCTGAGCAGCCGTAACCAAAGACCTTCTTAAGGAGCCCTGACACGGAGGCCTCTCCAAACCCACAATGGTCCTGAGCAGCCGTAACCAAAGACCTTCTTACCTGCAAGAAGGTTGCATGACCACTGGTACCAAGAGGTGGTGATGAGTCTGAGAAGTAACTGGAAGCCACAGAAAACTATACACCCCACGGAGGGGAGTACGTGAATAAAGAGCTTGCCCAACCCAGAAGGCAGCAAGACTGGAGTTAAAATGTAGGCAGACAGGGCCTGATGAGAAGGCTCCTGTGCAGATGGGCGGAGTCCAGTGATGGGCATGTGACTAATAGTTGAGGGCGGGGCCTAAAACTAGGGTAGCCTAAATGACAGATGAGTGGACTCTAAAGACCAAGGCCATGGACATACAAACTGTGAGTACAGCCCTTTCAGAAGAGACCTGCCTGGTGGATAACGAGGAGTGCATAAAGGTGGGTAGGGGTCTAGAGACGGGAGGGCAGGACAGCCCAAGCCAAGTCCCCTTCCCTCCCAAGTCCCAGAGGTGGGGCTAGAAATGGCAGAGAGCCCCACTGAATATCTCCACATTCTTCCTCCTGCCCCCAATCAGTTAGAGAAGACAGCTATAAAGATTCAGTCATGGTGGCGTGGCATCGTGGTCAGACGAACACTACTGCATGCAGCACTTGGAGCGTGGGCCATTCAGTGCTGGTGGAGGTCAATGCAAAACAAGATGTTGGAGCAAAGACGGAGCCTGGCGCTAAAACTCTACACCTGCCAGGAGTGGGCGGTGGTGAAGGTGCAGGCACATGTCCGCATGTGGCAGACCCGCAGACGATTCCTCCAGGCACGCCAAGCAGCCTGCATCATCCAGTCTCACTGGCGCTGGCATGCCAGCCAAAGCCGAGGCGTGATCCGGGGTCACTATGAGGTCAGAGCCAGCCAGCTGGAGCTTGACATCGAAATTCTTATGACCTAGGGTTCTGGCAAAGCCACAGGGGGCTGGATCTCCCTCCCAATAAAGACACTTACTGACCATAGACTCGCACTGTGGATATTGAACCCATAGCGAGAACTTAGCCTCTAACTTCCTTACCATTCATTCAGAAATATTCCCTGGTGTGGCATAGGGCCTTTGTCCTGAGACCCATCATAGGCCCCTGCTCCTAATGTCATACTCAGCCAATCTTTCACATAAGGGGCTGCAGGGCTCAGACCAGGTGTTGACACCTCCATCAGTTGGATTGGGGTCCCTCTACCATGGGAATAGGCCTTGCATTTTGCTCTTCTGCAGCCCCTGCCTAAGCATCTCCATTCAGCTTAAAAGAGTCTGGCTGCAGCAGGGCCAACTGGGAAAACAGGGATTCCATATCCTGAACCACAGGGCCCTGGGGGCCAGCACAGGACTTGGCAGGGGGCCAGGAGGATAGCACACCTCAGCTGAGCAGCAGCAGGACACACACGTGCCCAGTCCCGTGGGCTTGTGGGGTTGGCAGTGCGGTGCTCCAGAGCCCGCCCCTGAAGAAGGCCAGAGCTGAGTGGAGGGGTAGCAGCTGTGACTGCTGCCTCTGTCCCCTGAGGCTGAGCATCAAGGCTTCCCTCCCTCTGCTGGCCACTCCCTGGGAGAAGCAGGCATGGCTTGGGAGTGGAGAGGGGCAGCTGGGGTGGACACACAAGCAGGGTAGGACTGGAGGCCATGGCTTCGGGCTCACAGCCTTCAAGTCCTACGACCTCAAAAGCAGCTGTGCTGATCCCTCCTCGGATTGCCTCCCTCCCCTGGGCCAGCTTCAGTGGAGTCTCTGACCAGGCTTAGGTATGTAGTTTATCTGGTAGGCATGTGCTAGCATGCACAAAGTCTGGGTTTTGTCCCCAGTACCACGGAAGCTGGGCATGGTAACTTGTGCCTGTAATCCCAGCACTCAGGAGGTGGAGGATGGAGGATTAAAAATTCAAAGACAGGCACAGCCACAAAGCAAGTTCTGGGTTATACGATACCTTAAGCAAATGAAGTCTTTGATTAGCCTTGCCTCTGAAAACTGAGTTTGATAGAAAGTCTAGAAGCAAATGTCTGCTGTATAGAGGAACTTGAGTGTTTTGAAAGGGAAAAAGGTTTCTGGCCACTGCCAAAGCTGTGATATGTGAATTCATGTGACAGTAAAAGACTTAGCACAGAATTTGACTGAGAGTTAAATGGACACTACTAATAAATATGCTGGGGAAACAGAGACTTCTCTGATCAAAAGGAAGTTCTCATAGTTGGGGTACAGAGGATGACTGGAGGTAAAAGGTAAGGAAAGAAGAGAGAAAGAATGCTGTAGTCACACAGAAACAAAATTCCATCCATAAGACAGTGTTAGGAAACTGAGTTACTAGTGTAGCCCCTGCCTGTGCCTTCCTCCATTCGCTCCCCACAGGTCACCCCAACAGGAGATCTCGGGATCGTGTGGCTCAGATATTGCAAGGTGCCCAGGTGCTGCATCTGGGAACTGTCCCCATGAATCCAGAACCCTCCTCCATTATGAGACTGCATAAGAACCAAGATTCCTATGGGGTTTTTTTATTGTGTTACACTGAAGTTTTAGACAAAATAAAAAGGAGGAAGTGAACATCAGGACTCATCTGCCGCTGCTTCCTGCCTGAAGATTCAATGTGACCAGACACACAGTTCCCACTACTGTGCCTTTCCCAACCTGGCGACTGTGTCCTCTCAGACTGAGAGCCAAAGTAAACACATCCTCCTGTGAATTAAACACACTCAGCATGAGCTGATTATTGTTGAAGCTGGGAGATGATGTCTCACCCGCTTCTGAAGTGTTTAAATCTTCCACAGTAAAAGCTTGCTGCGAGCAGTTAGGAGTAGGAACCCCCAAACCACTGACTTGTTTTCTGAAACAAAACAGAAACTTGTTTTCCCTTCTCAACATGAAGCACAGCCACGGGACGTCTAAAGTGTAGCTGCCACACATATTATCAGCAGAGTGGCCCCTTTTCATCCTTGTGCCCTGTGGCTCTTCTAGGATAAATTCAAGTCCTCTTGCTGCCAAGGTGACTCTCTTGGGTCCAGCCCCTATGTTACACTTGAGAAAAAAACAAGAGGAAGAGCAAAAACAACGTGCTCGTGTCCACAGAGTTAATTCCTTTAAAGACCTTACCTAAAAGACACATGCCAGGGACCTCCACTTACGTTCACTGGCCAGAACTGTTACATGACCCTCCCAGGTTTGGGGACTGTAATTGCCATCATGACTGAACCTGGCCATAGCTTAACAGACTAGATTCTGCTGTGACACAAACTTGCAGAACTCAGGGACTTAACGAAGTGTGCTTCCTACACAAAGCCTGCTGCGCTTCAGGCAGCATGGTCCCCCCTCCACCCGCCCCCCGGTGTGTGTGTTTGGTTTCCTGGCTGCTCTGCCCCATGCCATCCCATGTGGGCATCCAAGCGCCTGTGACTATGCTTCTGCTAATGGGAAGGGAGGGAGGGAAAAAGAATCTACCAATTCTAATTTGCCATTTAGAAACGCCATTTCACTTCTGCTCCCAGTGTGTGTGTGTCTGTGTGTGTGTGTGTGTGTGTGTGTATCTGTGTGTGTGAATGTGTGTCTGTGTGTGTGAGTGTGTGTGTGAGAGTGTGTGTATCTGTGTGAGTGTGTCTCTGTGTGTGTCTGTGTGTGTCAGTGTGTGTCAGTGTGTGTCTGTGTGTGTGTCTGTGTGTGTGTCTGTGTGTGTATCTGTAGACATGTGTACATGTGGATGAGTGCACGTGTGCAATAGAGTGCACATGGAGGCAGAAGTCTGTCGGGTGCCTTCTTTAATCATCCTCTTGTCTTTTGAGATGGAGTCTCCCTGATCCTGGGTCGGCTAGGCTGGCTGGTTAATGAGATCTAGAGATGCACCCAGGCCCACCTCCAATTGCTGGAGCTACACAGACCCTCATCAGCACCAGATTTTTACATGGGTGCTGGGGATCTGAGCTCAAGACTTCATGATCACACAGCAGACACGTTACTAACTGAGCCATCTGCCAAATGTCTGGTGCCATTTTTTCAGAGTGCTGTGGCTTGAACCTGCATCCTAAGGATAATGACCTCTTTCTCCAGCTTCCATGATGTTGCCTCAGTTAGCCAAGGGCCGTATCTAAGCTTTTTTGCTTGTTTGTTGTTTTTTGAAACAGGGTGTAACAGCCTTAGCCGGCCTGGAACTCACTCTGTAGACCAGGCTGACCTCACACACTCAGAGATCCACCTGCCTCTGCCTCCTGAGTGCTGGTATCAAAGGTGTGTGCCACCACCGCCCAGCCAGCTGTGTCTATTTTAAGGAAAATGGAATTATAAGTTTTCCGTGTGGCTGAAGAAGAAAGGGAGAATGTTCACACACAGAACGACGCCCCCACATCGGGCTCTCTCCATGAGGCGGCAGGTGCTGTGGAAGCAGTTATCAGCGTTTGCTAAAATGAAGAAAAGATGAAAGAAGACCCCCAAATGAGAATTAGTCTGTATTAAGTGAAAGCAGGTAAAATTCATCTATTAACAGAACCTCATTTTTTAATCTAACCATATGTTGTTTATAATGGACACACCTGAAATGAAAGGAAGCTGTGGGCTGAAACTAAAGATGTGAAGGGTAACACAGGAAGGAATCTGTCTTAAAGCACATTTAATCATCTCTCTTGAGACAGAAGACGATGAAGACAAACCAATCGCTTCCATCCCCCAGAGCTAGCACAGTCATGAAGAGCAGGAGAGAAGCCACTGGGGAGAAGAGAGAATGGCATCCCAGAAAAGGGAACCCAAGTATTTGAAGAACCGTGAGATGGGGGATGGGAACAAAACTCCCAGAGGGATGAGAAGAGGAGGCTGCTAAGGCTCAAATGCAGTTTCTGATTCCAGAACCAGGCTCTTAAACACTCTGTCACCTGCTTCTTAAAGAGGACTTGTAAAGGCCCTAATCTATTTTTTATTTAAAAAATTTTTTTATTAAAAAAAAATAACACACATAGCCGGGCGGTGGTCAAGATGTGACCTGACCAGTGAGTTACAAGAAAGGAAAATTGAGACCATTCTCAAAGATAAATACAGACATAAAACCCAAGTAAAATACCAGTCAATTGCAACCATTGTTCCAGGAAAGCAATGATGGAGACACTGAAAATCCCATCCCCACAGTTGTGGGAAGGTGGCAGACACACCAGCAACTTCAGCACTCAGGAGACTGAGGCAGGAGGATTTGTTCAAGTTCAAAGCCAACCCGATATATAGTGAGACCTTTTTTTGTTG